TGGATTTCATATTCGAATAAACCTCGTAATCGTAAGCAAAGTCAAGTAGGCTTTTGAGCTATGGGCCTAGCATAATCCAAATCGATATAGGTTCCTGTAGGATTGGAATTCCCCCCTTTTGGAAAATCAGACGTGAAGGGTTCCTTTCATCCGGCTCAAGTCCGTAGGCGCGTAGGAATTCTAGTGATTTGTTCAAATCCAAGACATAAACAGAGAAAAGTCAAATGCTTCTTCAAAAGAACCAGATAAAGAATGGACACAAATAAAGGATATCTTGGAATAGAAACAAATAAAGGATATCTTGGAATAGAAGATATTTCCTTATCATTCCTTTCCATAGATTTCTTATTCATATATTTGGATTAGAATTGATGAAAAAAAGCGTGACTATACCAAGAATGGGTTAACGTAGGAATAGGCGTATAGGTTAACGTAGGAATGGGCGTAGAATCCAAAAAGGAATTCTGCATTTATAGCAAGTTGAAACAAGACCTTTGTAACTGTTACAGATGTACGAGGTGTCGGGGGGTTTTGATTGGGCCTAGCTGGTACTTCTGGATTCAAAGGAGCAGCCCTAAGCTGCTCAAGCTGCGGCATTTCATGCTATTCGTACTGTTGTTTAGAAGGGTATGCAACGAGCAGAAGTTATGAGAAAAAAGGGTCCAGGTCTCCAGAAGAGATGCTGCATTACGAGCCATTCGTAGAAGTGGTATACTATGAATGAAGGTTTCGTACGTGATGTAACACCTATGCCACATAATGGAGACCCCCTTCCAAAGATGTGTGTAGAAATAATAATAAGAAAACTCCTGGAAAGAAAGAGAAATAAATGATTCAATGATCTGAGAAAAGAATAGTAGAAGTATAGTATGGTTCGAGAGGAAGTCGCAGGATCTACTCGAACACTACAGTTACGGTGTGTTGAATCAAGAGTGGACAGTCAGCGTCTTTCTTATGGTCGGTTTTGTTCCCACGCCTTATGAAAGGTCAAGCCGATACCAATTGTATTGCCGTGCAAAGGGCTTTACTAGGAGAAATAGAAGGAAGATGTATCACACGTGCTAAATAAGAGAAAGTGCCGCATTAATATTCATAGATCTATGGTATTGAAGAATCGGTACATGAAATTGGACGAAATTGGAAAGAATAAGTATATATAAGTCATATATCCATAAGAAGTATTGATAAGTCATATGAATATTCTAGATAGATAATAGATATATATATTGTGATAGACGCATCCATTTGCATCAGGGGCCCCGCCATACATACAACACCGCTCATGATATCATCTCACCAACTTCCGTGGAAATAGTTGACACAACACAACATCTATATATAGCTAACCTGACGGAACCAATATCTTTGTGTATTGGATTACAAATCCGGAGGGATCGTAGATATCGTACGAAACCAACCACTCACTCTCCAAATAGAAGTTATCCTCGAGATGCTGTATCTATGCCTGTTCGAAGCATGCTGTATCTATGCCTGTTCGAAGCATAATATATATCTAGTATTCTTTCTTATGGGCCAAGAGACACTTTTTCTAGAAATATGGACGAAAGGAAGTTTCACTCACTCCTAAGAAGAGAAGGAAAGGAAGGAAGCACTTATTAAGCTTCTCTATATTCTATATCCATATGTCTTTATGAAGCTTCGCGTCATTTTATATAAATAAGTATTCCTTTTTCTACATGCGGAGGAAGAGGACATGAATTTCCAATAAAATCAAAGTACGGCCCCGATTAACTAATCTCCGGATTAACTAATCTCAATCAAAACTCTATCTCAATTCCATTTCCATGTATTTTGATTGACCAAGAAGAATGACCTGACCCATAATTGTATCAAAGGGAAGGGTATTTTACACTGTTAGCTAGTTCGTTGCAAGTTGAAACTAAATAGAGGGCTCTCCACGCCTACGATTTTAGGAAAGAGCAGAGTTTAGGGGCCAGATCTGTTGAGCTCAGGAAAGTGCTTTAGTCATGTAAGGGAAGTGAGCAAATCCTTCTCGCTTTTGATCTTGTCGATTCCCCTTGGCTTGGCTTTGGCAAAGAAAGCTGTCTACTAAATAAACCCGGAGCAATTTCATAGCTACCTTCGAAGATTATAGTGTTACTCCATTTTGGGTGTGATCTAGTTCTTTGTAGGGCGCCCCTCTTACTCTGAGTAGGCATAGAGAGAAATAGCCCCTTACTGCTTTACTGCTCTCCGCTGCGCACCGTCGGCTTGGCGAATCCATCTGCCTAACAATCAATCTCATAGATAACAGGAAGTAGATCAATTTCGGTCTACACCTTACAGGAGGAAGAGGTCGGATTGCCTAAACTAACCAATACAACTCTCAAAAGAGCCCACTAACGCTATATTAGGTGGTAAAGACATAAAGAAAGAAGCGTCGCAATATAGATAGGTGGTAAAGACATAAAGAAAGATCGTGTCCGTGAATGATCGGGTTTCAACGGCATCCCAACATGGGGATATAGGACGCGTGTATAGTTCTCATTGGAAAGAAAGAAGCCACATATTCCATATCTTTCCCGCCTGACACAGTTTGACACGCAGTGATACGGCTCAAAATCATTAGTCTACGAAGGAATCTAAAGAGAACAAGCACGCGGGAAAAAGCAAGTGTCTGATCAGATCAATCAAGAGATAGGGCTTCGGCCAAACATCTTTTTCCTAAGCTAAGACGGACGAGAGTGAGACTATTGCAAAATCTCTTTAAGGAGAGAGTGAAGCATTCCGCTGGGCCAGAGGCAAGTTAAAGACTAGTAGAAAGAAGTATTTGAAAGACAAGTAGAAGCCAGTTCAAAGACGAGTACGCTTACGACAAGTAGAAGCCAGTTCAAAGACGAGTACTAATAAGATAAGCCTTGAGTTAACCTGTGTTTGGATTCCTAAGGTGGTAAGTCAACTCTGGATTTGTTTGTAATAAGAGCGGTTTTTGACTATACCCACCTCGACCCCGAACCTTGCTTCACCATCTTTGATTCCGAAACTATTGTATCTCCGCCTATCTTTCATGTCTCTAAAACGGAAACGCTTAACCTAACATCCGTATTTTCCCCAGGATTAAGATATGAAGCGGACTTGGAAGTCAGAGAAGGTATTAGTTTTATTGAACTGTATTTCTCACTGCTCACTGGGATGGATTTCATGACTGGGCGTAAAGGGCACGTCGTCAGCCAGCTTTGATTCTATCTAAGGTGCTTCTATGACTAAAGTGTGTCTTAGAAAGGGGATTGGAAACAATGGTGAAACTAAGAGGCCTGCTTCGTCTTGCTCTCCTATATACTAAACGGACTTGCCATCTCTTCTTGATTCTTTACGGATGGCCGCCTTCTTGATTCTTGACAGATGGTATATCTCACCTACTTGCCTGATTCTTGACAGATGGTATATCTCACCTACTTGCCTGATTCTTGACAGATGGTATATCTCTCTCTTGCTTAACACTGGCTATAAACAATGAATGAAGGAAACCGCTTATAAGGCCATAAAGCTATTGTTGCAACTTGAGTGAGTTTGGAAGGATAACACTCAAACCGATATAGGCCGGCCTGCCTGCCTTTTAGAACGTTTTAGACTTGGAGAAATATTGATTGCTGCCTGTGTGGCTAACCGAACTCCTGCGCGCAACGTTAGTAGTTGCTTGCTGCGCATTTCTTTCTATCCCTTCCCTATCTGGTGACGCTGGACTAGCCGAGCCTTTCTACTCTTGCTGGACTACCTTTCTACCTATAACTTTCCCCAACCTTCCAAACTGTCAAAGATTAGCTCGTGCCTCTCCCGGTATGGAAGCCAAGATGCCAATTAGAGCTCCAATTGGTTATTGAGATTGCGTTTCTATTCATTTTTGGACTAGTTTGATTGTACTTTCTTTCCACTGAAACTATTCCCGTAACTATTTCTTTCCACTGAAACTATTCCCGTAACTATGGGAGGCACTCCTCTGATACGGATACTGATGCACTGCTTGTTAGCGGTAAATAAGAAATCCCCTATGTTGAAACGCGCATGAATGAAAGGGTTCTCCCCACGAAATAATCCCCTATTCCTGCTATTATCCTATTGATTGAAATTGAACTATCTCTTTCCTCTTAATATGGTATCGCGAGATGAAAAACCGGACGTTAATCAAAGCGAAAATAGGTTTGGGTATACTACTTTATAAGATATATAATATAAGAGAAATAAAGGAATCCAGAAAGAATAAGCTAAAGAGCAAATAATAGAAGAAAGAATCAGAGGTGCTAAGAGCCTTGCCATCCGGGCTTATGGGTCCTATTCTTGTGAACCCGGAGGCTTATATAGTAGTAAGATCGATGCTGTAAATACTTCACGCTAATTCTAACAGTAATAAGTAAGGGAAGACAAGAACCGATTCCACCTCAATCAGCTCGACCTTTTATGCAATTATGAACGGACCACTATCTCGATTCCAATGCAACTTCTCTTTTTTGAGCTGACGTAACAAACGTAGTGAGCCTCCCGATGAAGCCAACAGAAATCCTATCCGAATATGAAAAAGAAAAGGCAATTGAATTATGGTGGTATACCAGCCGCCAGTTCTTCCACTTCCAGTTCCAATCGGAGCATATAGATCCGTAAATAGATTAGTATGTATAGCCACTTCCGTGGTGCTGGTCGTTTTTCGAATGGACAAAAAGTATCTTTTTTCTGGGAACATGGTCAACCATAAATTCTGATGTGAGTGATTCTTCATCCACCGATGCAGAAAATGCTCTAGTTTTCCATGATCATATGAGGCATGGAAGTTTCTGGGCAAGAGGTCGGCGCGAAGTGATTCATCATGCTCTAACATTAACCGATCGCTCGTTGGGGACGGTTTATAAATAATCAAATTACCACAAATAGAATGAGAAGTGGGTCCGTGTAAATGATCGAGACCTCGCAAACTACAACGTTCCTTCCCCATATGGAGTTCGGGACCCAAAGGCAAGAGTTGAGTAAACTGTATCTTATTCGTATTAGTTGACCTAAGCCGCACCATTCTAGCTGGGATGGGGCTCGGTCTCTGAACCGTACGTGGGACGAGTTTGAGCCTCATACAGCTCGGGCCGAAGACCGGGGGAAGTTTAGGAGAGATGGGGGAGAACCAGCTGCTGCCGGTCGAGACGGACAGGAAAGGTTACGGGGCAAAGTTCAGAAGCTATTCTCCTAACCCCAAAAACATCCCCTATAGCGCTTCGCGTTCTTTCTATTCTATACCAGTCCATTCTAGCTATCATCTTCATCTAATTAGTGCAGTAGTAGTCGTCTGCCTCTAAAGAAGGAAGGAATTGGCTTGGCGGCAATGGCTATTATAGTAGGGGAGCACTTGACCGCCCGCGCATTCTCTCTCGCCCTAAATGGAATGGCTCTCTTAGCTGCGCCCTGACTCGAGTCCCCACGTCTGCTTTTATCCGCCCACAACCCTTGGATTTGCCAACACGACTTAAGGGCCCTACCTGGAATTCTATGCTTACCCGGTCCGGGACTGGCTTATTGGGAAGCCCGTTCCCACAGCGCTCACGACCCGGCTGGCCTGCCTGCGGTAGTGGGAATTCTCCCGTTCCCTGGTAAAAGCGTTGGTTGGATGCGGGATCTACTCCACGAGGAGCGGTACGGACGTAGATTATATCATCACGACCTCTCTTTGCGTACCTTTAGGGATGCTTAACGCCACTTCGCCAACTGGCATTACCCTAGCTTTCGTCTCTCTCAGTGTGGTCAGCACTGGGTGTTTCCGAGCTGCGAGGCTTACACCCATTCGCATTAGTTCATCCAAAGTTCCCTACCCTTATGCACCAATTTAGGAATAAGCCATCTTCCTATCAAGGTTAAGGAGTCAACTGAGCATCTCAGCGGCGGGATTGAATACCCGGATCGAATCAGAGTTCACGCCGCCCACCCGGAACAAATAAATAGGAGGCGTGGGCCACAGGTCGCACATAAGCCACCGGGTCGCACGACAGAAAAACACCCAAAAGAAAGATGCAGACTCCTCCATGTGAGATAGGAAGATTCATCTGCACTTTTTGGTAGTAGTCGTGACCAACAGTCATCAGCAGTCGGCTCGTTGGTAAGGCGAGAGCTTCAAGCCTGGCCAAGTAACGGATAGACAAGACACTAGGCAAGTCGACAAACAACGTCTTACTTAGTTGTTCGTCAGTTGTTACCGGACAAGCAGACAAGCAGGCAAGTAACTTAGTGTAGCGGCAGGGAGCTTCTTGTTGTGCTAAAGGAGTTGCTAGGCTGTTAATAGTTGTCCGCTGACGCGGCAGCGCCCGCTCACGCTTCGCAGACTTATCACGTGGTATAGAGAAGAGAGATAGAAAGAATTGACAACTGAGCAGACCGCAGAAAGATGAGAAATATGACAAGTCCCCTATGGATTCGATAAGAAGGAAATGCAGAACGGGAACGATACGAAATACAGCATTTCTTGCGGATGAGCTTCTCCCAATTATGTCTGGTAATAGAATAGGGCAGCTTGCTCTGACCAACACTCCACTTTGAGCTCTGTCCATGGAGCGTATGAATTTCCTGGAATGTAGATAGACCATAAAAAGGAATGAAGAGATAGGAATAGGAATTATAGTACCATTGGAAGAAGGGGCACCAGTGAGAACATCTCTACTGACGAACCATTGAAATAGTACGGGTGCTGCCGTGCCACGAGGCACGACCATGGAAGTAATGAAAAAGAAGAAGTTCTGTAGTTGGACCATATACTCTATCCGTAAGATTGGAGCTTCTCCCCAGAGAAAAAGAAAGTGTGAACAACACATACCGAAAGGAGTACCCATTTGCCGACCATTAATGACTAGTTCGAACACCAGGAGCTGCGTTGAAACCCAGATAGATTGAGTTTGGACTTTTCCTATGTTTCCTAATGTTTTCAATAAAACCTTCTCGTAGAACTAATGAAACAATGTTTTCTGTAAGAGTTGGTAAGAAATGCTATGAAAACCCGGACTTACTATGGTTTCTGTTATATTAGTAAATGCTATGAGACCCTATATAGAATATTTAGTAAATGCTATGAGACCCTATATAGAATATGCAATTCGATAGAGAAATTCTATTGATTCTAAGGATATATACTGATACTAAGGATATATACGGATATAGATAGATAGATAGATTATGAATGATCACAACACAATAGAAATGAAAGTATCCACGTGAGACAGAATACACTAATTGATCCATATTCTGAGATCATACTATATATCATAGCTAATTATATATCATAGCTAATTGAGATCCATATTCAGATATCCTACGACTACCATATTATAGGCGCCGGCTATACTTACCACTTTCTAATACCGAATCATAGGCTCTACTACTTTAGAATACCGATGGAGCTAATGTTAGTCAAATGAAACTGTATCAATTCCTGCACCAATAACTAGAGTTCCTTCCTGCCTTCTTGATCAATGACAACCACTGCATTGTAAAAGTAGTATCATACCGTTGTCACATTTGAGTTCCTTACATTTACTACCAATTACAGCTCGAATGACTTCCGATCGATCTTGATAGTGGCATATTTGGCACAGCTTCCTTGATTACAGCAACAATAACGTAACCTATATGAGCCTATCGATGATTACCAGCTCCTATGATTCGAATACACATCAATTCTGGAGCGAAACTCTTATACGTTACATTCTCCAAGGGGAATGAGATAGATAGATCTTGGAAGTCAGGTTTTTTATTGGATAGTGATCTCGGGCACGAGTGGTTTCTCTTCTTCGCGGACCGTGAATGGCCATCGAAAGGAGAATTGGATTCTTATTAATATAGTGGATTTCTAAGATTGGACGATGAGTTTGGATCCATTGTGGAATAATAGGCTGTGGTCTCGATATGGGGCTATGGACTGTGATTGCTTCCTGTATGAGCCTACTGTGGTTGGGCTCTCGTGGGCGGATTCCAAGATGTGTACTCATCTTCCAACAAAGAGGACAGGACACACTGCTGGTCCACGCATGAGAGCTCCTCTGATTGTGTCTTTCCGGCAACTCGCAAAGCTCACTGATTGGTTCAAACCAGAGAGGAGATTCAGAGGCAAAGTTTCGAACTGCAAGCATACAATCCATCGGTGTATGGAAGTTCGGTAAAGCTATATTCAATCAAACACCCACTTGGGGAAGGATTGAGGGGCAGTTCCTTGGCCGAGACCCATTCATTGGCTATTGCAAGGAGGAAGGAAGTCGGAGAACCATAAATTCCAAGTTCAGAGCTCAAATCCCTTTTCGAAATTGAACAGCTCTCACTCTTGTGCTTCGACTAAAACGAAACTCCCAAATAGTGGAAAAAGGAAATCCAATTAGAGATAAGCTGCCTATGAGCATCATGGCATAGGTAAAAGAAAGGAAACATTAAGTTATTAGAGGAAGCAGTGAGTCAGCTGTCAAAGGGAAGGGAACAATCAAGACTAAAGCCGATCTAGAGACCCTCAGTTAGAAGCAGTCCTTGTCCGGAACCTTATAGTAATTAAGGCGAGATCATTATGGAAATAGAAACCTCACCCACTATAGAGAAAAGAAAGGAGAGAAGAGAAGAGAAGATATTGTAGTGGAAAGGAGAGAAGATATAGTAGTCGAAAGGAAAGACAGACTTCAAGGTTCAATAAAGAATGCAGGTGGAAAGTGGGAGTGAAAACCTCAAAAGCCATAGTTGGTTTCTTTATCCTTAGTGAAAGCCTTGCCTTGTTAACATGGGTTGTAGTCTGTTATCGCTAGTGCCAGTTTGCAAGCAAGGAAAGTCTCACTCTGAGTTAGTGGTGGTATTGGTATGATTCAGTGTATTCCGGTTAAAGGAGTAGAAGCACTTGTTTCAGTCTAATAGTAGCAGTGAAGGTCCTACTTAATGGATTGATCACTCATCTAGGAGGAAAAAGCCTTGTTAGCACTAATTTCATTCTGATAGTACACTGTGCAACTCTGGATTCTTTTATTGATTTATTGTATGGATCCTGGTTAGTAATTGATTTACTAGTTTTGAGTTTCTCGCCTTAGAAGCTTTAGTGCAAATATGAGGTAGCTTGAAACAAGAGATAAGGAATGAAAAGCAGAGTTAAGAGACTTAGGATCGGAAAGGAAAGACATGCCCTGGGAGCGGGGAGTCAGATCTAGTGGTTACGTGTTCAAGAATAGAAGAGAGTCAGGGTAGTAAGCTAGATTTAGTGCATGGAGAAGCAGACTGAAATGACTAATGGAAAGAGTTTCCCTAGTGCGGGAGGGCACAAGGAATTACTACCTGCCCGAGAAGACTTCGCTAACTGATAAGACTTCACTAACTACTTAGTCAAAATGGAACTGGTGTTTCACTCAATATGGGTAAGGTAATCAAACGAGAACAACTACCCTATGGCAGTAGTGCAAGAGTTATAACCGGGCAAGTCCGCTTTAGATGTAGTCCTTTCCTTATTTAGTAGTAGTGAAGAAAGCACTAGTTCCGGACGAGTAACTACGTAAGTTACGAGAAGTATAGCTCAATTCTTTTTGTTATAAGTTAGAGAATCAAAAGCAGAGTGAAGAGACTAAAGGGCTGTAAGGACAGTTTTAGAGTCAAGAGAGGCAGCCTAATAGTGGGGCTTCTTTCAGTAATAAATCCTTCTAGCCTTGACTCCGGAGAAGAAGTCCTGTTCATAGCTATGGCCGATAGATCGATCAGTGAAGCCAAGCCGGTTACATATCTGCTTCAACTCTAATGTGATTTCCATAAATGTTTCTTTTTGCTTTAGGCGCAACTGCATTGGCTATTTACGAGGTAAGGACGGCCTACTCTAACGCTTCTTCAATAAACGCAGGTGTGAAGCATATGTTTTTCGAGATCCATTACTTTATTAGTGAAAAGCAAGCTAGGCCCCCAATAAACTCACTATTCCTTAGGTAAACCATAGCACAGCTTCGTTCCAAGCCTTCCACGGAGACTAAGGCAATCATAGATCATAGCTACGTCTGAAGGCAAGCAATGAAGTAGTTAAAGTGCAATAAGGTCTAATTCCATCAGTGCTCAAGCCCTATTGTCTTCCTCGCTGTCTACTCCTATAGTAATGAGTTGAAATCCCGTGTTTCTACTTTGATTATGTTACTAATGAGTTGGATCCCCCGTTTACCGTTCATTCCTTCCAGTGTGGGTTTGATCCTGGTAGTGAGTAGGTGAATTCCAATATAGTAGACCAAAGTCTAACAACATAGGAAGAGTATCTTTATACGCGCATTTATTAGATTGATTTATGAGAGAGAGCCCTCTGCTTGCTTATTTCATTATGAGGTACGATGTAGTGATCTACTAATAGGAATAAGAGTCTATGGGTATGACCAATAGGAATAAGAATATGGGTATGACCTACTAACTATAAGAAAGGAACCGCTGATAATCAGAATGGAGTGAAGAAGTAAAGGACCAATGTAAGGGTATAATGCTTAAGCATGGAACTTGGACTTATACTCTCAACTGGGCATTGAAGGAAGGATTCTCATAATGATACTCCTACAGCTAAGTCAAATCTCAGTTTACTGGTCAACACGCACCCCTAGTAGAATGCACCCACTACTAACAGGAGTAGCACCGAGGAATAGAAGAATGGACTGCTCCCCTAAAGGATGGACTACCTCACAAGAACAAACTCGGAACTTAGCCTTTATCCCCTACCTATGGGCTTATGTCTCCTTACTTTTCTTTTTACTTCTTTATTTCATTACTCGATTCAGTATTCTGTCATCTTTTATTATATTGATTTCTATTCTATTTTTCCGTGGCATGTGTTTTATCATATCATATAATATTGAACTACTGTGCTAGTGGATCAAACTCCCACTCTACTAGTAAGCATCGAACTCGGAACTGGGACTTTGACTAACCAATATCAGAATGAGACTAGATACCCGGATCCCATGTTCTTGCTGAGGTATGCTGCTACTAACTCCTTTGAAACTGAAACTCATGCCCCAAAGTGCCTCTAGGTAATGTTATGATCCAGCACATCTACTAGTAAGAGTACGGATATGATCTAGCACACCCACAAAGAAGAAGAGCAAAATGAACATATGATATAGTGCATACAAGAATATAGAACCAATCTACTGATACAAAGACTGGAGCAAGGACATACGAGAATAGAATAGAGTAGAAACCCCGGATCAGAGGAGTCAAAAGGTGGGAGTCATACTATAATACAGCAAAGTCAGAATAAGATAACAGAAGGGCGGGGATTTACTTACTGCCCGATTAGACTGAAACCAGCTGTCAACAAGATTCTAACTGCTAGAGCTATCAGATCGAAATATAACCTCGCTAACGGGGTTTGTACTACTTGAACTAGAAAATCAGACTTGCTATACGCTGTTAAAGGAAGCAATTGTCTTACCACATTCTCCAACTAATACATCCCTTAGACTTAAATCATTACTAGAAAGAATAGAACGACCGGGTGCTAATGATACTTATCCCACCTGCTGGGAATTCTATTAAGCAGTTTCACAGTCGTGGTCTCCAACTTGAACAGAAGAAGCAACCTATTAAGTCAGAATCGAGTAAGTGAGCCAAAGAACGAAACACGGGCTAATGAGGTTCGAACTCGTACTAGAAAGAATGACTAGGTAACCCAATTGATTGGATTGGGAATACAGGACATGGGTATTGAGTATCCGCTTTGAACTATGACTATTATAGTAACAGCAAGAGTAGAAACCCGGGCATAAAAGAATGGACCTACCTAAAGCCAACCTTTCTATCAAGTAAAGTAGGAAATACATAATGACTTCCTGCAGTTTTCACTCGCTACCGTTTTAGCTCAGACTCCTCCGCGCCAGTGTTTAACTCGCTACCGTTTAACACAAGCACCCGAAACCAGACTTGAAACAGCTAACTACTCTCCTATTGCTCCCGAACCACATAGTAAGTAGGCAAACAACCAAGCTACTACAAAGACATAGCAAACAACAAAGCTACTACAAAGACATAGCAAACAACAAAGCTACTGCTAGATGAGGGTTTTAAGATAG